GCTAACAATGTTAATCCTGAATCCCTGCCTCATCCCTGCTGAAAAGACTCAGTATGGTGTCTCTGGGTCGAGCTGCTTTAAGGCTGAGTCCGGTACAAAGTTCTACCAATCAGCCAGTGAACCAGTCATCACGATGGGCCAAGAAACCATGGTGGTCCCTGAATACTGGCTCATCATAAGACCTTCATTTGCATAATCCTTCAACTGGGCTTCATTATATAGCATCACCATCTCTCCTTAATAAGCTGGAGGTAAACAGTGGAGCTGTTACACAGACCAGCTGAGGCTCTGCTAAAACGCTGTCATACAACAGTATACACTGTATATAGTGATTCTAGAATCTGTTGGGACCCTCACCAAAAAAATGGCAGGGGCCCCTCTTATCAGTCATATCACTCATCACAATTATGTAATAAATAATCTGACACCAATGTTGCAAATTGTCCATTAGTTGTTTAAGGGGGAGAGAGCTGCATTTAGAGATATTGCTGTGGAGTAAATTCATTCACTCACTCATGGCGACCAGATGGCAGCTTTAAATAACCAGGTTTATGCAACATAAACCTGGTTATTAACCGTTTTTAACACCCTGGATTTATTAGTACTGTTGCATAAATTCATGTTTGACTGATAAATGTGCAACACATTAAGTATATTAGTTTGTATTTGTTAACACTGTAATCTTAATGGATTGAAATGTTACAGTATATGCAATTAAAATATTTTGCCATATATTAGCATATATATATATATATATATATATATGTATATGTATTTTTTGAGTGATTTCAAAGTTTTAATTTCTCACCACTATTAAACATGTTTTCTCCAATGAAAGCATGTCTTCTTTATTTGAAAGCAAGGGAGACTGTGACTGTACTGGAAGTTTTGAAGTCTGGATCTGAACACAGATATGACAGTTCCTCTACACAGCCTGTGCCTTCAGGCCTCAGTGTGCTTCCAACAAAGTGTCAAAACAACAAAGACAAAAGATTCACTCTGAATCCAAATGTCCAGACTTCACTGCACTTAAAGGAGCTATTTGTAAATTTTGCTATTGCTACAAAGCCAGCGTTAGCATTAACTGCTGTTTACTTACCAGAGTTCAGCATCAAACATTCACTTACTCACCAACAGCTGTCTCCAGAGGTGGAGACAAACACCAATGGTAACTCTGGTTTTGATTCTTTTACAATCAGGAGAGACTTCATCCATTCTGAGTCAATGAATAAACTTTATATTGCCATGTGCACTTTCAAATGTGATGTTATCACATTTTTTGTTGTTCATTTTTGTTGTTAAATTATGAACTTCTTGACATTTTTTCTTGACACTTGCCTTTGTAGGTAATAGCACATGTTATTAATGCCAGTTATTCACAGATTAAATCTAATTAGATTCATACATTTTGATTCACTGAGAAGGAAGCAATTGTAGCATTGTTGATTACTGCAATGTAAATAGAAAACCAAATAACATACTGTACATTGATGCTGAGTCATAACTGAGAGAAAGTGCATCCGAGATGTGGATGAAGGCAGTGCATTTCCTCAGAAATGTGCCACTCTGTTTATAAAGCTGCTGCATGCACAGAATCATTGAAGTACTGTGAGAAACATTCACCGTACAGCACAGGTTCAGTGAGTGAACTCTTCCTCAGTCACTTATAGAGCAGATTATGTTTGGTGTTTGATTTGGCCTCCACCTGCTGGCTGCTGTGTGTCCATACAAGAAAATACATTCAAGTAACACTTGGAGAGTTACAAGAGTCTGAGCAGCAGGGAAACACATGGTGTAAAGTAGTGGAACATGAACCCTCAATAACAAAGCTGTTGCTTTGATTTGTTTGGTTCATTAAAAAAAAAAGCGGCATTGACTACGACTGAACATTTACACAAAAAAAAAGGAAAGGATTCTTAAGTTCAGCTGCTGCAAAAATGAGGCGTCATTAGTCCAGATTAGTCAAATCATCAATGTAGTTGGATCCAATCTGAATCCAGTTACAAATAAAATTCCTTTTCAACTTCCGTATCGTAAATCAATAGGCATTAATAATAGGAACTGCAGAAAGAAGTGTAAAATAATATATAAATTAAATTAAATTACAATAAATAAATGATAAATCCATCAATAAATAAAAATGGATTTACAAAAACATCAAAACATCATAAAACACTCATTAGATAAACCATTTATAAATACATTTATTAGTTTATTAATAAATAATAAAACTTTTTAGGCTTTTTAAAAACAGGAATAAATTCCTTGATTCCCTCTATAATTGCGATTTCCTTTTTCCAGCTGCTTTTTAGCTAATCAATTAGCTTAGTCATTTAGCTTCTCCTTTTAGCCTCTCTGTGACACTCTGGACCTTCAGTGCTGGTAAAACCAGGCTAATTAATCCCATTTGACATCTCTCTGATTGGTTGGAAAGCTAACCAGAGGGTCTTAGGAAATGGAAACTGAAGAAGGAATCCAGGTATGTATACTCATTTTTTAAATGCCTTTTCAAATTGTTTTTCAAATTTCAATTCAGTTATTTATTCATGAATTAATAAATCTATTTATGAATGGTTTATTCATTCATTTTTCCAATCCATTTTAAATGTTAAGTATTTAATGATGTTATTAATCGTTCATTTATAAATTCTTTTTACAATTCCTATTTTTAATGCCTATTAAAATATGAAATTATGGAAATGCTTTATTATTTTTCCTGTAACATCTCTGTTCCTCCATACAAGCACAGAGACCCTGCTGTGCTGACAGGGTGCAGGGCTTTAACCACATGTTACCACTGCTCTGTGACTAACTGACTCACTTTGATTTTTGCTGCGAGGGAAGACTGTGTTTGCTCCCTACTGGGGGATTGTGTAATATTAATTCCAGTCATTCTGCATGCATGATGTACTTAATACTTACGGTCCACCATGTTCAGTCAGTCAATCTTGTTAACTGTGTGGCTGACTTAGTGCATGTGACCAGAAGCTAGAGAGAGATCATGATTGAAGAAGTAAAAGAAAGGATTCACTGGCTGTGGACCTTCATGAGTCCAGGTACTTTACCAACCTGGAACCAAATCCAAAATAGAACCGTCTACAGCCTCTTCCAAAGTTACACAGTCTTTTTAATACAAAATTGCATTGTTGTGTGGGAGGGAATACATCCTGGTTGTCACAGAGATGATTCCACGAGAAAACAAACCTTCTGCCAGGACAAGATACACACTCAATCTGACTAAAGCTCAAATGATGTGTTTACTGTCATGTAGCGTTGAGAGTTAGCGTGAAGTACATGTTTACATGATACATGAACACAACATGTAGTATAAACAGAACCATGCTCATATCTGGTGTATCAGAGCCTGAAGTCAGACTGCTGAAGCCTCACGTCAGCTTCACCTGAGCGCACCTGCACAGGCCCTTCATCTTTACATTGTAGGCGCTCTACAAACAGACTGCTTCACAGAGAGTATAGGCAGAGGGAATGAGAACAGCAACCAATAACACTTTCAACATAAACGTGGTGTTACGGCTGCGGTTGAATTGTGGGGTTTTTTTGTTGTATATGTTTTCTTCCATGTGGCTTGAAAGGTGGCATGACGTGTGCACGAGCGAGTGTATGTAAATAGGTGTGTGATTGGTGCGCATAATTGGCGGTTGCAGCTGATTGGGTCCTGTTGGATGTTCACCAGACATAAGGAACCAAGATTGCATCACGTTTTTGTTAGTTACTGTAGGAAGGTTAGCTGATGTACTTTGGTTTTGGTTATGTTCACATTTTGTGTCTAGATAGATTTGTTTTGTTTATTATTTTGGCGTTTGTCCACCCTGAAGCTGGAACACACTCTCCTCCTATTGAAAAACACTTCCTAAATAAACACACCACTTAACAGTCTATTATTTGTGCCTGTGGCTATTTGGGCCTTGAGGAAGATGGGCTATTCATGTCGTGGCCTGGCCACCCCTAGACAGGACCTAACAGTGGTCTGTGATGAACTTGAAAGTATCTCATAGTATCCTTTAAAATACACCATGTGGAGTTTTCTTGTATCTCTCCAATACAGTATCTATTGTGTACTCTGTTCATACATATGGACTCAAACAGTGGAGGTGTGACAAGACGCCATTCACTGATGACTGAAGCTTGAAAATGAGCGGTGACATGATCAAGCTGAGGTTCCCCTCCCATATGTAACTTGAACAAGCTGCTGGTACTTGAAGAAAAGTGATGTGTGAAAACTCAGCCAATGAAACAGTTTGTCATGTGCCACTATGGTTGCACACTTACAACCTTCAAGCTCACGAGCAACAAGAGACTTCTTTCCTCTTTGTACCTGTTTGTGTGTGTGAACACAGCTAACGGATATGTTGAAATCTTTTCCTCCTTTCAAAAACATTTAGTGGATTTTTGGAGTATTTCCAACCCTGCATTGTTCACTTGGACGTCACATTAGCTCACAGCCTTTTACTGGAACACAGTTACATGTTTCGGTGAGATACCAGCAATAAATGATGGTGAGACAAACAGGCAGGAATGTGTGTTGTGTCATGGTAAACATTAGATTCCAAGGCTCTGGAGTTGGCAGAGAAAACCGGGAAGGTTAAAGTTTCTGGTCAGATGAAAGGAGCTATTTGGAAGTTTACTCTGCTGCCGAACTTGGTTTCTAAATAAACCTGAAACCTTGTCAGCACAGAGAGAGAGAGAATTAGCATTAGCACAACCACTAATAATATGTCAGCCACTGCCAGTTACAAGCTAAAAAACAACATAAACAAAATAAAATAAAGGCTCAAACATGTGGCTGAGTCTCTCTGATGTTTCCTCCTCTAACCATCCTGATACTCTCTGCTCTCTCACCTGTACACCTGGAGCAAGCAGGTGGTGGGCGGGGCTCAAGGCCTGATCCACATTTCTCAATCAGGAAGTAAGAGGAGATGAGCTTTAGACCCAGTTTTTATGTGTGAAAACATGTTAAACAACATATGAATCATGGCAGAGGATTTTTACAGCGTTCAAAACATGTCTGGAGAGGAACTTAAAACATCATAAAACATGATTGAGGATTAGTGATAAGATTAAGTTCAGATCAAGTTCAGGAGAAACATATCCTTCACTTTCCCCAGAATTGAGTCCTGAGACTTGGAATCTAATGTCAACCAGTGCTGCATCTTCATCCAAACACAGGTGTTTCTGCCTGTCTCACTCAGCCATGGTGCTTGCTGCTCGCTTTGACCAACCTCAGCTCCACCACGATGCAGGGCCTCACATCAGTGAGTGATGAATGACAGAGTACGGCTATCAGCAGGGACAAAATAAAGACAAAAAAAAGCAGTCAAACGTCTTTTAAGTGACCTCCATGTGTATCCACATGTGTATTTTAATATTCCTATTCGCTGCTGCTGTCTCTTCAAAGCTTTCAAATGAGCATACTGTTTAAAATCCTAAAAATGTGTTGTGATCACACCTGAATCAGCACTGTCAATACACTCGGGTGGCAGTTTATTAGGAACACTTAAAAACTAACACAGTCTGATAAAACAGTCCGGCAATAAATAGTTTTGTTTTAGAGACTTCACTGATCAGTGTCACAAACTACAGCGTCCTGGATAATCATAGTTTAATTAATCTAACCCTCTGAAACCTTCATGAACGTATCAGGTGTTGTATTAGCTTTAGCTATGTGTTCCTAATAATCTTGCAACCGAGTGTAGATAATATAAAGGATTTGCAATCTGGATTTAAGGCAGAAGCGTATTGATGTGTTGTTTAATAATCCAGACTGGGCTGTTTCATCATTATTATTATTACTTGATTTCCTGAATGTAAAATGTTTATGTACAGAACATTAAAATGCAGAGGGCTTCTCTTTATGCTGAGTTAAATCTGTTAAAGATAAAGGACAGAAGCAAAGATGAAGCTTTGATTTGTTGTCAATGTGTTGAAGCTGTACAGATCCATCCATGAGGACGGAGCTTAAATTCAGAGGCAGTGAATAAACAAAAAGCTGAAACTGATGGCAACATGACACAAAAACTCTGTCCCGCAAGTCTCTTTCTTTGTGAGAACAGTGCGCTTGTTTTTGCTTGTGCTCTGTCTTTGCTAGCAGAGTTTCGGAGGCGTCCACCTCACTCGGCTGAACAGAGACACGTCTGCTTTATCTTCTGCCCGTCGCTCTCCTGCTCTCATCTCCTCTGACGTCACCGTCCTGTCAGTCTCCACCTCTGTTTCGCCTGACGTCGTCTGTGTATGAGACTCAGACCAGGCCTTGTTTTTGTGTCTGTCTGTGCGTGTAGAGACAGACAGGTGGCTGAGCGGCTTCCGTTGGCCGTCTGTCTACTGGCCGGTCTTCTTGTCCTTCTGGAAGCTGAAGCTAGTCCGCCGGCTCAGTTTCCGCTGCTTCTGGGCAAAGTAATCAGCCCGAGAGGAGCTGGCCCGTGACTCCAGGATGTAGTTCACCTGAGAAACAAACAGTTTTATCCATGAAATGGTTTCAAATGTTACTATGATACATTCAGCTTTACATCTGACATCCACAGGCCTTTACCAAAAATACAAAGACGACATATCATCAGAACAACAATGACACTCTTACCTCCGCCCAGGCCAAACAATCGCACATGTCTCTCTAGAATCCAAGTGAATGTTTGTACCAAATTTGAAGGGTTTCCCTTGAGGAATTTTCAAGATATTACATTCTCATGGCCAAAATCATGTTTTGTGATGTCACTGTGACTTTGACCTTTGGCCACCAAAATCTAATCAGTTCGTCCTGGAGTCCTAGGTTGTGTCTGAAATCACTCACTCATTCACTCCTCCCTCCTCACTATCCAGGGCGTTCCATGTCGAGGACTATACTGTGAGCTCATCAGTAAAATGAAAAACACTTTCAGACACTCGGGACATTTTCTCTGCACTGTTTGTAGATATTGCTTGGTTAGTGACCATCGGTTGTACACTACTTTTCACAATGCATTGTGGGATACTATGAGTCCACTATATATAGTATAATAATTGCCACTATGCTATAAATTCCGGCAACTCCCTACATAGTGGTCTATATAGGGAGTAGTGAGTGATTTCGGACACAGCCCAAGTGAATGTTTGTGTCAAATTTGAAGAAATTCCCTCAAGGCATTCCGGAGATAACGCGTTCACAAGGCCAAAACCATGTTTTGTGAGGTCCCCAAGACCTTGACCTTTGACCACCAAAATGTGATCAGTTCATCCTCGAGACCAGGTGAATGTTTGTGCCAAATTTGAAAAAGTTCCCTCGAGGTGTTACTGAGATATCGTGTCCACGAGAATGGGACGGATAGACAACCCAAAAACAACATGACTCTGGCTCTGACTGTCGCCGGCATGGAGGCATAAAAATAAAAGTCGTCTGATAACATGAATGATTTTGGAGATAGGAAAGGTCCAGTACATTTAAACTACACTTCAGTTCTATACTTTAGTCTCTGCTGCCACTCATCTCCTTCACATGTCACTATATGATATTTGATTGAGTACAAACGGAGACAGAGACACCCTGGAACAGACTTGATCCAGACTTCAGTCTAAACTGTTAAACCTTTGACCTAAGAAAAGACAAATAGGAAGAGAACATTCGGACAGAACTCACCTTCAGCACTATCTCATTGACAGTAGCAGCATCAGACTCAAAGTAGAGAGGCTTGTAATCGTGGTTGCTGAGATACGTGAGCTTGAATATTGCGTGGCCTGTAAGACAGAGAGGAGAAATATCACAGAAACTGACAACAGCAGAGGTGTACAGATCACACCTTCTGTCTCTGTCTGCACATCTTCAGTCACGTCTTTGTGTGAACTGAGTCATCATCTCATACTTTCAGAGGAATCATGAATTTACACATCATTTCTCATCTTAGAAAACAGGACATTGTAAAAATTGAAAACAGGAAAACAACTGGATGTATGTAAAAAATAAATTCTTATGGAAAGACAAAATGTTAAAATGTACATGATTGATATTTGCCAACAAGACAGATAAGTGTGATACCACTGTTAGAAGACTGTGAGCCTGTAATAGAGTTCAGAATCAATGTCATCTAATACTGATCAATAAATCAACTTCAGCCCAGACCTCAGAACAGAACAGAAAAAAACATTCATAGAATAAATGAGTTTCTGATTTACAGAATGAACATAATATCCACTTTAAATTCATGTATAATGTATTTTATCTAAGTAACATCTTCATATGAACTTGTTTTATTCGGAATGAGGAACTTCTTAGAGTCTGACCAAACTTATGTTAAATAAAGTGTTTTATGTATCTGGTTTACTTGTCTTATTTTGTTCTAACTTTAAGATAAACATGTAGAGAGAGTCAGAGAGTCAGAGAGAGAGAGAGAGAGAGAGAGAGAGAGAGAGAGAAGAAGAGAGAGAGAGAGAGAGAGAGAGAGAGAGAGAGAGAGAGAGAGAGAGAGAGAGAGAGAGAGAGAGGGCAGGCTGTAAGGAAGCTCTAAGTTAACTGAAAAAGATGTTTTCTATTTATTTTTTTTAATCTTAGGCAGTTTAACTACTGACCTTTATACTTGTTAAGATTTTTCACTGGACTTGAGCTTAAACTTTAATTAAAAACATGAACTAAGGAGGAAACAGAGGTGGTTTCTACTGTGAACATCATGCAGAGACAGTGAGTCACTGTGTCCGTGCTTCACTCACTGGGGCTTCTCTCCTCTACAAGGTCACAGGCACAGAGGTGATCCGAGTCGATGGAGATGGGTTTCTGCCGAATCCAGAACTTAGTGCTGGCCTTCTGATTGGTGACAGGATCGATCTCCACCTTCTCTCCTGAAATGCCTGAAGAAAAAGATATCCGTCAGTTCATGATGAAAAACACATGATGACCCACTAACACACTCATCATCGTTGGAAAACAAATTGAGTAGAAACAGAGGTTTATGTTTTAAATTTGACCATGGACAAATATAATTGCTGCATCACCTGATATCTTTATCCCACTCTGACACTGAGCTCTCAGGATGTCTGTCAGTGAAAATGTCTGAACAACTATTGGATGAGTTGTCATGAAATTTGGTCCAAACATTCATCTCCCTCTCACGATGAACAGTAGTAACTTAGGTGATTCTCTTACTGTTATGTTCATTTGGTCAAATTTTTAATTTGTCTAATACTTTGTTTTTTATACCTGCTGAACATCAGCATGTTAGCATTTAGCAGAGTTCTTAGCACCGTAAAGCTCTTTATAATCTTGTATGTGCAGCCTGCCGATGTGTCATGCACTTGTACATTCCTTGAAAAGCCAAGAGTAACTGTTTGATTGTTTTAAATCCTTTTAAATGGCAGTAAACAGCATGTGAAGATCCCTGAAAAAGTGGGACTCGACAGAACGGGGACACCTCAAGCTCCATCACAGCCGCCAGCTGTGACAGCTGTGTTCACATCATAGAAAATCTCTCTATTTGTGTTGGGTGAACTTCCATGATCTGAATTTGTGAAAAGATATTAAAGCAGCAGAACTGTGAACTAAATAGCCAGACACAGGACACACTCCTCTACACACACCAACACACATGGCTGCTGGTGTATGAAGATTTGTTGTTGGTCAGTCACACGGTTGAATGTGAGGAATAAAGAGATATGATAAATCAAGGTGTCAATCAAAAGGCAGCATCCGTCTCCTACTAGGTCTGCTCGATTATGGTAAAAATCATAATCACGATTATTTTGATCAATATTGAGATCACGATTATTCAGCACAACTTCTCATTAACTTTGGAAAAGAACATAAAAAATGATTTCAAAGCAAAAAGCGCTGTGTCTATGTAATTATTCCCTCTATACACAATTTGAGTTAAAGATATCTGAGCATGATGACATAAAAACTTCTGCGTAGGGAAAAGCGAAAATGCATCATAGATAAATGTCTTCATCACAAACAGAGTTGGTGAATGTGAAAGAGAGTTTTTATGCTGCAACAACAAATATGAAATCTGTTTTCCTAATTCCTTCAGTATCGAGAGCGGAACCGATAAAAATTTGTTGTGAAACAGAACGGCACACAATGGCTTTTCACGATTATCTTGTTTTTATAATCGTTGGAGGCCAAAATCATAATTGAAGAAAAAATTCTAATAATTGCACAGCCCTAGTCTCCTACTGGGACTCAAAGTGAGGCACTGGTCCTCATGGAGGTCTGAGACATGATGAAACCTTAGCATTCCTGGCGACCTCACAAGCTACAATAATGACTTCTAAGGCCAAGAGTTGGCATACCATTGCCAAACTGCATTATTTTTAGGTCACAGGTTTTGTAAGAAAAGTCTTATTAAAGGACTAGAACCGTCACTGTGTGGGAGATCAGAGCTGCTGATGTTAATGATGCTAATGTTCATGTTGAATTTGGAGAGGTTTATCTAAAAGATGTTTGTCCAACTCATCCTCGAAGCATTGTGAGTAAGCAGCTGAGCACGGCTGTTATAGGGAACTAAAATCACCTCCTTGTGGTTGTATCTCTCCTCACTCAGACTAGTTTCAGGTTACATCCCTGTTTATCCAGTCATAGAAAATGTGAACCATTTGTATGAAATTTTGTCATAATTGCTGTGTGAAGTCTCAAGTTATGGTGTTTTGTGCAGTCACACTGACCTTGACCTTTGACCACCAAAATCTAATCAGTTTATCCTGAGTCCATTTTTGTACCAAATTTGAATAAATTCCCTCGAGGCGTTACTGAGATATTGTGGCCACGAGAATGGGATGTACGGATGGACGGATGGACGGACTACCTGAAAACAATGAGGAATAAAAACTACAGCCTGACTAGCTCTACCATGCAGTACCTTATTTCTATGTTTGAGTTAGCATGGTATCGTGTATGTAGCCAATGCATTTTAGGAGGCAGAGTTTTCATTTTAAAATGAGTGTAAGAAAAAACAAAACAGTTGTCTGAAGGAGCTCTGGGCGTTAAAATAATATCAATAACAATCGCGATATAACTTTCACAAAAATGTTTGCTATAATTAATTTCAATGCTTAGAGAGCACGAAAAGACATGTAACTGCCAATCTGTCTCAAATCCAGGACCTATTATTTCTGGTATGGAGTGGTAAATCTGCCAATGACAGTTTTACAGTTTTACAAGCTGCAGTAAGAAGTACTTACCTAGCTGGACGTCTGTGGTGAAGCGCAGCTTGTGGATCATACTGATCTTGAAGGACTTGTAGTGGTGACTGCTCAACATGTCTTGGACTGTGGTGATGTCAATAGGTGGGTCTTCCTCTGAACTCTCCTCCCCCCTGGAGCCTGGAGGCAAAAGGGAAAAAAAAGAGAAACATTAAAAACTTGAGTCTTGGAGCGTCGCGTAGCGCAGTGGGTTACGCAGGCGCCCCATATATAAAGGCTACAGTCCTCGCTGGAGCTGGCCCCCGCTGACTCCCGCTTTAGACGGCCCTTTCCTGCGTGTCATTCCCCCTCTCTCTTCCTCCCCTTTTCCTGTCTCTACTGTCCTGTCCATAAAAGGCACAAAAATAATAATAAAAAAAAACAAAAAACTTGAGTCTTGTTTTGGCTCCAGGCATTAAAATACAATCACACTCTACATTCAGGCCTTTGGGATTTTATCTTTATATGACAATGATGCTGTCTTTGTATCACATCTGTTGCATCATTAACACACCCAATCATCCTGAGCCCACAGGCTACACTTGGCTACAGGTGAGCTCTTTGAAACACTGGAGAGAGTGGATGAGTGGACAATGTGAATTTAGAATTTTATGCTGTTGCTGTTGAAATAAAAAAAAGTGTATCCTTTACCAGCAGCTAACAATCCTTTTGTTTGTGCTGTCTACATAAAGACAACATGGACTGCAATAAATATTTTGTGTAGTCCCCTGATTCATTCTTTAGTCCAAACTGTCCTAAGATGTGAAATCAGTGTTTAAACAGTTACATCTATGACCACAGAGTGAAGCTGGTGGAGTGGAGCCAGCTGTGAGTTATTCACTGAGAACATGAGGCAGTTGTGGTGATGGAACGTACTGTTTTCTCGGACAAGGCAGAACTCCAGGGTGCTCTGGGTCTCCAGCGTCAAGTCCAGGTCTACTGCCACGTTTGGCTGCGTCTGCTTCTCCAGACGATACATGGGCCCTGTTGGAGAGAGTCAGACGACAGCAACACACCTCAGCGTTTGGTGAGTTTTGGAGTTGGGTGGAGGACAGCTCTCATTCTTGTTGATGCTGGAGAGCTCCATCCTGAAGGATAAGTGTGTATTTTTTTTTTTTTTTTTACTTCTTTTCAGGTCAGTTTTTGGTCATGAATCTTACTGGTAATAATCGGGCCATACTCATCAGCGGCCGGCAGCAGTAATCTTTTTTCTTTTTCTTTTTTTTTCTTTTTTCTATTTAGGATTTTGTTTGTTTTTTCAACATCTTATCTTGAAAATATGAGTCTAGACTGAAGAGGAGAGCAGGAGATAAAGGAGGGGTTTGGTGCTTTGATGCACAGTGCTGACTCTGCAGATGTGGAGCACTGATGAACGTCCATCATGATACTGTAACTGATGCGGACGTCGTTCTACAAGAGTTTGATGTAACGTTCAGAGGCAGAATGAACTTATAGGCAGGAAAACCCATTTCATTTTATCATCTCGTGTGGTTTGTTGATTGTTTATTGCTGCAGCTTGGTTTGGTCGTGATGTTGAATATTGTTATTAGTATCTTTAGGAGTTAGTCAGACAACTGCTCTTACGATGACGATGCTAAATGAGGGAATCTGTTGCCGACTCTCACTGCACGTTTCTTAGGGATATTCAGTATAGTATATAATAGTATATTGCAGCCTGTTATTTAGCTGCTGTTGTTGGTTGCTCTTTGAAATACATGTGGTAAGATAATCAGAGTTTTATGGTGGTGTTGTGTCATAACTTTAGCGCTAAAATACACTGATCAATCTCTCTCTCTCTCTCTTACTCGCTCACTCGTTCAATAGGTAGACATACTGTATGTGTGTGTAGGAAACCTAAAGGTAGCCTACAATCAGACAGGTGGTTGTTGTGCATACTATGAAATATAATCCTGCCAGCACCAGTGGTACTCATGAACTTAGGCTAAACTGTTGGTTTATTTCCAAACCAGCGTTGCATGTCTGTAAAACTGCCTTCTCAGGAAACAATTCAAATGTCCACTAGCCATAGTCTTTAGAAACAGAAGTAAAGCTGGAATGAAAGAGATGAGGCCAATCTAATCTTGTCTGATGTGTCTTCTGATCAGGAGGAAGAGTATCCACATTAACAATCTGCTGTTACAGCCTCCTCCTGGCTGCATCCCGCCGCCTCCCTCATCTCTTATAAGCAGTGTTTGGCAGTTCTATTTCATATCAAGAAGACATCACACTTCCCTGTGTCTGGTCTGTCTGTAGTGTCACTGTCAGGATAAAGGGAGCGAGCAGTAAATGATACCTGAGCCTTTCTGTGAGCCTTTCCTCTTCTTCAGTGCTTTCTGGAGGATCTCTTTCATGGTTACCTTCAGACTGTCCACAGGGATCAGAGAGAAACCATGAGCAGCGTTTCTACAAGGAAGAAAGCAGACGAAGGTTGAGAATGACTGTGTATTTCCCTCCATCATCCAGACAGACAGAGAGGTGGACCACTGGACCTGGAACAGGACAACTGAAGACTGGCTTCTTTAGTTATGACTGAAGTCAAAAACTGTATGAGCCCGTCATTTCACAGCAGTAACACAATCCGCTGATGTGTTTGTGTTGTGAATATATTTTGTTTATTTATCTACTCTGTTACCTGGACTGGACTGACAGTCACTACAATATTATACTGGGATATTCTGATAAAAACTCTTACTATGTTCACTCCTGGCGTCCACACGACTCCACAGAATTTTTTGAGCGCCTAAAACTGAGACTTTTGCAAAAACTGCCGTTTTAGTTTGAAAACTCTGGGGTTGAGCTGTATCTGGACGGACAGAAACTGAGACCTTTGGAAACAATGACACAAACACCCATGGTCTCTCCTGATTGGCTCGCACCAGCCTCGACTACCAGTGGTCAATACAACACGGATACACGTGTTACTGACCTTGTTGTCTTTGCTAGCAGCTGTTGTTTATGTCTTTATTTTAATGCTACAATTGTCTTTGCTGTTCTGAGCAAGCTCTCTTTTTCAAGGACGCCATCACACACAATATATACGAGAGACAATAATCCATAAGTGTAAAAACTATTTTGAATGGATATGCAATATACAGTGTAATGTATAAAAACAATGAAAGCCACAAATAAAAGCCATGAAACATATAATATAGGACATAGTCCATAAAAGCAATATGACTCAGTTGAAGCACACATTCACACTGCCATGAGTCAGCAAAGATTTAAAAACATTAAAAGGGATTAACTCATCTAATTTGAATCTTTTCCGCGTGTTATTCCATTTGTGTGGAGCATAAAATTTAAAAGCCAATTTCCCAGTCTCAGTGCTAACACACTGATTCTCAAGGACCAAATAGTCTTGGGACCTAGTGCAGTGTGAAGTTGAGCTAAAGCTAATAAGAAATGTCAGGTACCCAGGAAGTTTGCCAATAACTGCAGAGTAGACAATCTGCTTCTTGTTTACACCAACACACCAACGTGTATGGTCATGTGATGTGTGTTTTCAGGTGTGATAGTGTGGACAGAGATCAGAGATGATTTCTGATATGAAGCTAAAACACTCAACTGGACAGAGATGGTTTTGTTTTATAATGAAAATGTAGTCGTGTGGACGTAGCCTTAGAAAATGGGTGAAATAATGATTTTAATAAGGATCCGTCTGATCAAAGAATAATTAAACATCATGATCATGAATCTGAGCAGACAACCAATGCTAGCTTTAGTATTTGACAGTTTATGACACTTATGACGCTACAGACACATTTCAACAGGCAGCAAAGGAGTGTCAGTACACACAGCTCAAAGGCAACACATTCTGCAGTGCAGATGTTGAGCAGCATTGTGCTGTATTCTACAACGGGCCTGGAAACATCAGGATAAACATTTACATATACACCCACATGTTGATTATATGCATGAGTATGTTTCTGACTTACATTCTGACAAACAGTGACTGTCTGGAGGCGAGGCCAGGCGAGGAGTATTTCTCCACCAAGGCCAAAGTGCTGAAACCAAACTTGTGGATTGGCTCATTGGAGTCGAGAGGAGGGAAGTCAGTGTCCACCTCGCCGTCATCCTCTGCGATGTGGAGGCAGTAGGCGTTAACATTCTCACTGTGGAGAGACAGAAGCAGAGTGTGTTACCGAGACTGTCAGTGTAGGAAACTGCTGTTAACACACCTTAACACACTCACTTGAGTTTAGGTTCTCGTCCCTCGCTCGTGTACTGCCAACAGATGAGACCGATGAGGTCGTGGACGCGGGCATTGGCGATGGTTACCACTGTCATGGGATGTAGTTTCTCCTGAGCCACCTGCATTGACAGGTACACGTCGATCTTCTTTGTAGCTGTTGTGCCAATGTGGCCCTGAAAGGTGAAGAGGGAGAGAGCAGAGAAAAATCCTGATTACATAGAATGAAAAAAACTAAAACTAAAACCTTTCACTCTCACTGTTTGAATTTACTTCTTTTCACTTCAAAAAAATCTACAAAATATTTTAAAGTTAGGGTGAAGAGCCAGGAAATGATATGTCAATGAGTGTGCTCATAACTACAAGGTCAGCGTGTGTGTGTGTGTGTGTGTGTGTGCGCGCGTGTGTGTGTGTGTGTATGTAAAATGTATTTACATATGTAAAACAAATAAAATGAAAATCCAGTGTTTAACCTTGTTAACATCCATATGATGTTTTTATATAATACAGACATGATGAGAGAAATAATCATCAACACCGTGACGGAGTGTTTCCACCTTGAACTGCAGTGAACCAATGACAGTCTCATAAACACAGATTCAGACAGTCAGGGTTTCATATGTCACAAACCTCAGGAACCAATCCTGTCAACTTGTGTGGACGGGGGGCGGGGCTAAATAAACCTGACACCTTGTCAGTACAGAGAGAGAGTTAGCATTAGCACAACTACTAACACTGTGTCAGCCACTGCCAGTTACAAGCTAACAAGCCACATAAACAAATAAAAGATGCTAACTATGCTAACCGCTCTGATCCGTCTGCTAGTCTCTGGTTCTGGTCTCAACAGACTCCTCATCTGAGTCTGGATCTGACTGAGGCTCAAACATGTGGCTGAGTCTCTCTGATGTTTCCTCCTCTAACCATCCTGATACTCTCTGCTCTCTCACCTGTCCACCTGGAGCAAGCAGGTGGTGGGCGGGGCTCAATGCCTGATCCACATTTCTCAATCAGGAAGTAAGAGATGAGCTTCAGACCCAGTTTTTATGTGTGAAAACATGTGAAACTAAATATGAATCATAGCAGAGGATTTTTACAGAGTTTAAAACATGGAGAGGAACTTTAATTATTGTTATCATTTGCAGTATTACAATTTGGTAAATGGACAGCACTTATATATCACTTTTCTAGTGTTATCGACCACGCAGAGCTCAAGACGTGCTTGAAAGTCATTTTTATTGACAGAAAACTTCACTCTCATAGTTTCTGAGGTAAAGCTATGAATAAAGGTTTACTGAAGGCAACTAATCCTTAATTCACAGTAACTGTTTTTCATTTCAAAGGTTGTTTCAGTCAAACAGAAAAAACAAAGCAAAATGAATCAATCTGCCTATTTCTACTTCTCATTCATGATACATTTATTTTTAAATGATAAAAAGAAATTGGGTTTAATGTTGAATCACTCACCTTGCCATCAAATTTGGAGTACTCATTGAAGGGGTTGTTGAGCTGCTGGGGACACTGCTCCAGTCGCAGTGAGAGGGTGGATTTGGTGCCTGTCGTCCGTGGCCTGTCTTTATAGTCCCGCTTTTCAAACAGAGACCCCAGATCCTCCACTGCACAGAGAGCGTGAGAGCAGAAACAACATGCAGCAGATACCTGATTATTTTCAGGAACACTGACAACAGTGACAGTTTATTTTGTTCTCAGTGCTGGAACATATCCAGAAAAGGAAGGTTTTCATGCAGAATATTTGATTACAAGCATGTATTTACCAGTCGTGACCAGTTCAACCAAAGACTGGTTTTCTTCTGTTTTTACTTGAATTTTAAAAAGGTAAAATGATCCAAGATCTTTCCTCCAATCCAAAATAAAGATTACAATATGAAAATGATTTGCTGTAGCCAAATTCTTTCCCTGATTTCCCACAGGAACAAAGTGAAAAGTGAACGGTATATTTTTACTACAAAATCAATTGTGATTGATGCTTTGATATTTGGATATTTATGTAAAATTGTAATAAACAGTACCTGATTGGGAGGACGACCTCTCTTTCCACTGAATGTTTTTACATTTGATTTGGTTCTGCCGTTCTTTCCGTAGCCGTTCAAGTCTTTGGGCTGAAAAGAAAAAACAACTTTTAAGTTTCTATCACAAAAACGAGTCAAAATCACTACAAACCTGATGAAATAGAAAAGATCAGCATTACATAAATTGTACTATAAAAATATCAGAACACCTGGCCCGTGAGAGGAATACAAGAACAGCTGAGACAGCTGCAGACACCACCCACATGTAGTTGTTTTCTCATATACTCTGTTTGGAGGACACGTTCCATACCATAGGCAGTAGAACATCATCTTCTTGTTTACGGTACCCAGTGGATCACATGTGCAGATGCTACCCTTGAAGCGTAGTGGCTGAGCGGACTGTCTACGTGGTCATAATAAATTGGTGGGTACATGCATGTCTGCGCCAGAGCCACACATACACCCTCTGATGACGACGTTTAAGTCACGTTGACCCTTGTGGATGCAGACAGTGTAACTTTGGCTTTACAGAAAACCCTTGTTATTAATGACACCGGAGGCCAGTAAGTACCGGGAGAAACAGAAGGAGCAGTCTACACATTTGTCAGCACCAGACCATGTGGTGGTTTGAATGGGAGTAACTAGAGCTGCAGACAAGAGACTGGTGGCGACGTAACAGCGAGTTTAGGGAAGGAATGTCTAGCGGCGACAGTGCAACATCCTGGACTTACCTGCTGGAACACGCATGTGACACGCTCTAAACCCAAATGACAGACACACAGAGTGGAAAAGGAAAAGGATTTTTTGACAGTCCACCAGTCCACCAATGTGGCGGCACACCGGGATTTGTCCTGGTGGATGTGATGGCTAGTCCAACTACACAAAACTGAATTGTGAAATGATTGACTAGAGGCTTTATGTTTTCAGGTTGTCCATCCGTCCATCCATCCGTACCATTCTTCTGAATGAGATCCAAAGGGTCAAAGGTAGGGTATTTTGAGGGTAGAGTGTTTGTGTGTGCATGGTAAGATGTTTTAATAAGAGTCCATGCTATATTATAATAATCCGAGCCGTTCATATGTTGATATTATCAGACTCTGGTTATAAACTAACGTTAGCTAGTGTTGCACACTGTTGGCACAGGAGGGGAACAGAAGAAAGGCATTGAGGCGAGGTGCTTGGGAGCATTAACCTCATATCCTTTGGGTTTTCCTAGAAAATTGGCCCAAAGTCCCTTCGATAGAGATCAGTCAAATGTCTATTATAGGTAAGTCCGGGAAGGTGACGTTTCAATCCATTCACACAGTGGCAATAAAAAGGTGATTAATACATGTAAATTTCTTCTCATTCTTACGTATAATACCTTTAAAGTTTTTATCCCTGTAATCTTACCAGCAGCCCCAGGTTTCTCGTGGCTTTCTTGCTGGAGTCCTGATGAAACAGCCACCACAGGTCAGTTCTCAAGCTCAAGTCTGAAAGTTTCAGGATTGCTGCTGTCTACCCACAACCACAACCACGACCGGCACTCCACCAGACTTAGTACAACATTCAAGGGAGCCAAAAGGAGACGTGTCGTCTACCTTTGGACTCCCTCTATCACCAAAACCACATTTACCTTCCAAATAAAACACCTGAATGTAGCTTAGAATAGATTCAAACTCTTCATTTGATTGAAACTCACTATACTCAGTTTTTACAGCACATCATGTTACACACCCACATCCCAACCTGAACACGCTATATTCATTTCATGACTGATTTGATGATTTCATGGTGATTAGGACACCAAACCTTGAGATTTAAGGGGCTAACACAGGAACGTCTGTACTCTGACAAACATTGTTACTGAAAATAAATAGAAAGATTTAGGATATTTGTCTCTCACATGAAATGTGTTTTGTCTTTGTGCTGGAGAAAAGTGACTCAGATTTTTTTCCAGGGCTTAAACATAATAGTTGTCAAACATTCTGTTTAATGTGGTTGCCTTTTTGGCAACCACCTTCGGTGTGTTGGGAAAAAAAATCCCTGTGTCCCTCCCTTTTAGTGTAGAACTGTCTAACCAGATATTTGAGAGCGCTGCTGCTCAGAGGATAACAGTAAGACCAAAACTGTCACAGCCAAACCCAAATGGAAGCGAAGCAGAAATGTAATCAAAGTTTGGAGGACAACACAGACAAAATGGAAACAACAGATCAAAATAAAAACAGCAGAAATACACACTTGAAGGAAGTAAATTCACATTTCATCTATTCATCATCACTTCATCAGCTCTGAGAGAATTTTATAAATACACTAACTGAGCACTTTATTAGGAACACATGTGCACCTACATATTCATGCTACTATCCAATCAGCCAATGAAGATGCATCAAAAATCCTGCACACAGGTCATGAGCTTCAGTTAATGTTCACATCAATCATCAGAATGAGGAAAAATGTGATCTCAGTGACTTTGACTGTGACAAGATTCTTGGATCTTCACAAACAACTTGGGCTACTCAGAATGGTGCCAACAACAAAAATTCTCCCAAAATGTGCCATCTTCTAATGGCTCCTTCCAGCAGGATAATGCTCCATGTCACAAAGCTAAAGTCATCTAAAACTGGTTTCAGCAACATGTAGGGAAAAATCCTGCTCAACTTGGGGAAATATGAGAGAATATGAATCAGAATTATCCTGCAGCCACCTTAACCACCTTAACAGTGATATAATTAACTTGGAAGTTTGTTTTCTACCTGTTTGTCTGGTTGCACATGTTTCTTAATCCATCTGACCTGGCCGGAGCAACAAATTTTTTTAATAATGAGTAATTTTCCTTTCATTTTTTAAAAATCTTGTGATCCTGTAGGGGCAAGTTAGTGTAAGTGCACTTTACGCTAGAGCTCAGAGCCAAAGGCATGGGGCCGTCATAATGGCTTAGTGGTGTAAGACATATAATGTGTTGTGTCAACATCTCCAGTTAGATTCCAGCTGGGGATCTTTCCTGCATGCAATTCCCTTGCTCCAGCCGCATATTTCTATATCTATGTCTACTGTCAACTATCTAATGAAGTTCATGAGTGAAGCCAAAAAGACGCTTGAGTCCAACTCCTTTGCCATTGCCGCTGACTTACATTTAGTTCTACAAAGTGTCACTTTTCTTCTAAATGACATAATAAACAGAACAACCCAACACAGACTTTACAAACTATATTGGCATTAATCATAATAAACAATTAAGAAAATTCACACAGTGAACTACAATGTAACCCCATGCTTTCCACCCGAGCAGCAACAACCTTCAATAGCACACACAATTTGACTTGAGCCTCACTAAACCACTGGCCCAGATTACACACACAAAACCCCTCCAAACAACAGCAGAACAGGCTTTCTGGCTGCCCCTGCCACGATGACAGGAGGGAGGTGTGCCCATCAGAAAGCCTGCCCTGCTAACCGGCCAGAGCCTGGAAATGAGCCTACCTGTGTTGGAACGCCGCCGAATACCAAAGTCCCAGCTGGAGGTGATGTCCATGGACTGAGAGAGATCACAGGCATGATTGTCCGTCACGCTACTGCCCTCCTCACTTAGGGAGCCTGACCCCGTTGACCCACAGCTGCTGCCGGGCACCAGAGCCAGCTGGCACTTCTCCAGATCCACATCCTGGTCTATTAGTACCATCTCACACATTCCTGTGTCATCACTGGTCACATGAGACTGTCTAATGTGGGCCAGAATAATGGCTGGATTGTCCAAGAAAGCCATTTCCTCTGCTTTATAAAGTTCGGCTTAGAGCTTTGGATGTTTTCTCTTTGTCTCTCGTCTTGCCTGTAAGACAGAGGTACTCTTTCACGTCCTTTTTAGTCTCTCTCTGAGAGTGCTGAAGCAGTAGCTGATGACAAGTGGACAGCAGTCATCTTTTCCATCTCCTTTTTTTGATTATTCTCTCTGATCCAAGGTAGGAAAGGTGTCAGTACCTGTTTGGAGTAAGATAACAGTTATTACATGGTGCAGGCTGAAGCTTAAGGATCGGTTTAAAAAACAAATGTTTTAACTTTTCTAAAGATCATTTAGTGTAGTGGGGAGCAACTTCCTGGTTTAGCATGTTCCAAACATGTAATGGAAAGATTTTTATGCAACTATGAATTTGATTTGATGTTGAAAGAAAGACACAGCGACACAAATCATAGCATCAGTGTTTCTCAAAAAGGACTACCCACTATTGTTTTGGCTAAAATAAATACAAAACACACTAAGTATTCTATCTATAATACAGTTTATTTGTTGCTTAAATCATATAGTCCCAAAAAACAGAAGTAAAGCAGAGCCTGATAACACCGCCAATCAACAGTCAAATCAATTATGCGATTTTGTTATTGTCATAACACTGACTGCTTGAACAGGGTGTTAGCCATCACTGGACACTTGTATTTAACAGTAAACAAATGGCCTCTCCTCTAAATAGTTAAGTTTCACTGTTCTGAGTATTTACACTGTGGACAAAAGGCTGTTGATAATTTAAACAAAGTGATGAGAGCTGTGACGAAGGACATAACAACCCCATCCCCCGGTGTGGCATTAGCCTGGCTGAGATAACTGAGTTAGCATATCAAATGCAGAATTCTCTAGCGTCTACAGCGTTAGAACGTCATCTAATGTTAACAAACAAACGTCAGATTAACCGCAGCATACTGTTACAATCATATCACATAGTTCACACTGTGTGCGAGGTCTTATTTCATGTTTAAAAGCCAGTTTCTGCAAAGAGCTTCTTTGACTGACGCTAACTGCAGCTAATGCTAAGCTGCAATGTGGTGTCAAGTTTGCTTTGTCACTTGGTACAAACCATTGAATGTTGACAGTTTCATGATCAGCGTCTCTCAAACAAGAAGTGGCTCATATTTGGTCTTAAATACCTTCATCCTACAACCCAGTTAGGTAGTGATGATTCCCAGTAGCTAGTTTGACGTTAGCTGATGTAGCTATTGTGTTTGCTAGCTATTCTGAACCTAGCTAACTGGCTAACTTAAAAGTCCTGCACTTTAGCTAAGTCGGCGTTCACTTGGTAGAAGTAGCAGCAAAGCATAGAACTGGTATTCACACTATAAAAAATTAACCACCAATGTCGGTCCAAATTGCATTGTGTGTATCTAGTTAGCTCATAAGCTGGTTTAGGCTAAATTCACTAAAGCTTTCTTTGGTTAGCTGTTACCATAGCCTCCCAGAGTAGTTAGTTCATGACGGCGTCCCACCTTTAGAGGTCCCACACGAAAAGATGTCCACACTGCTTCATTTTATCCATGCATACTCCCAGTAATGACAATAACTCTATTCATTAGTAATAATGCAACATAGCAAGATCATCTGTGCTCTGCCTTGCAGTGGTAGTTCAGTTTCACTTCCGCTTTCATTCCTTCAAAGTAAAAGACAGCGACTATTCCGATTTAGTTTTAGCGCAAAAACATGTAATTAATCAACAAAATGCCTCCAGACCCTGTATTCTTGCCATACTTTTTTTTGCATTTGTCTCTTCATGATTGTTTTACCTTCAGCTTTACTCAACATTATTTACATGTTTACTGTTTGTTATTTGAGTGATAGCCAGTATATCAACATCCTCTTTTCCTTCTACTTCTACATGGGCAGGAACCCAAACGAAGGACACCATCAGACCCTTGTTGTGCAGTCTGTATGTTAAAGGGTGGATTTCAAAAAGAGGATTTTGTGTATACATGATTTTACAGATTTAATGCTTGTGAGTGCTGCCCAACTATCAGAGTAGCTACAAGGTCAACTGCATACTGACAGGTGATCTGTGGTTCTTTTCTTAATTGCTACCTTGACCAGTTCAGGGAAAACTACAGGTCCTCTACCTCCAGTCTCAGGGTCTTTTGAAACAACACTAACTTATCAACAAAGTGCTGCTAAATGTTATTTTGTGCTATGCTCCTAGCAGGTACCTGTTCGGACTTCCTCCTCAGTTGTTGCTGTATATTTAAATCTAGTCATAGCATCACAAATAACCAGGTAGGAATAGCTGAAGAAAGACTGTTGGACTTCACTGTGTGTTACTTATGGTGTAATAAGTACATCATATCAGAGCTTTTGAAACGTGCATCTTCAAACGCTTAATTTTAGAAAAATGAAATAAAGCTTCCGTTTCCCTTTTTCTTCCTCTCAAAAAACATATTACCAATTGAACAGCTTTAACGCTTCATTTTCTCTTTCTTTCTCTTATATCTCACTCTCCGCAATGAGCTCTCATCTTGTCTTTAATCTGTGTGTGTGTGTGTCTCACTCACAGATTTCAGTTGCAGTGACTGGCTGATTAGCATCACATAATGGCTATAGCAGTCAAACGCTTGAGAAAATTTAATAATTCTCAATCATTTAGAGGTTATAGGTTACTCTGTGTCCGTACCCGGACTGTGGTCTGCCTATTAATGACCTTAGCAATATCCTACCTTTAGGTAATATCATCAGAAATCGCCACATACATTTTCATCCCATTTTCTATGAAGCCAGATGAGACTGATCAGGTGGTCAAACTTCAGGAATGTCTTAAAGACGTAAAGACAAGTCTCTAGGACAGCCTTCTTCCACCTGCGCATTATTGTGAAAATCAGAAATATCCTGTCTCAAAGGGATGCTGAAAAACTAGTACACCTCTAGACTGGACTACTACAATTCTTTATTATCAGGATGTCCCAATAACTCTAGAATCCTTTTTAATTTCCTTTCTTTTATTTATGTTGATTTATATTTATTTACTTATATTTTCTCTTCTCGTTTTCTAGGCCATGGCTTGTGTGACCATGACCGCTTAATCATATGAGGCTCTATCACCACTGTAGTAGTCAAAGACGAAGGGATCAAACTTTGTGTAGCTTCTCTTTCCCTCTGTCCACGAATGTAGGAACAAAGCCTTGATTTCCTGATTGATCAACATTGCTGACTCCTGAGTCTCTTTCTTCTTATTAGACAGAAAATTTTGGTTTCATTTTGTAGAGACAAATTTATTATAATGAGATATAAATGTGGCCTGTTGCATGCAATCAGTACATTATTAAAAATAAATTAAAAAGATTATAAAACTCTATATACAAATTTTCACGTGTCTGGCTTAGTGCTTTAGTGTTGATGCTGCCCCCCTGTGACTAGAGAGCAGAACTGTGGATTGAGACTGAGAGCACCAAGAGAGGGACTGAAAAAGAGAGAAACATTGAAGCCATTACATTAGACCAGTGCAACCAAAAAAAACATTAATTTTGAGTTGCATGTCCATCCACCAACCTGACCTCCTCACATCCTTACTTTGAATGATACTAGGCTGTATAAAAAACACATCCAGACCTATTTAGTGCAGGAGCTTTTGGAGTTTGAATTGTATGACCAATCCCTGAAAGTGCCTCAGGGTGAGGAGAACAATATGTAATGTCTTGACAAAGTTATCGTAGACACCTGCCAGTAACAAAACAATACAAGCAAACAATAACATAAAACTACTGTTGATAGGATCATATAAATGATGGTCAAAACAGACCTCCAGGTTTTGAGGTAATACGTTTGCCTAAAACCAAAGAGACTCCATGAAACTGTCGCTACGTACGTAATACCAAATAATACAAGGGAAAAGACTTTAAAGTCTGTATTGGATTCTGGGTAACTGAATACACAGGACCAGGGAGGTGATGAGAGAGAGGCTGCTGAGAATCACTGCACTGACACCAACTCTATGCACAGTAATTACACATAAGAGCACAAAGCAACACATGAAAGCATCATGAGCATCACATGAGCCATGCTAAATAAGAAACACCCTCTCAGAATACTCGAGTTCAAACAGGACCCTCATGTGATCATCTGGACAAAAAGGAACCAATCCATTCTCTGGGTGAGATCTATGGGCGTGTTGCATTGAGCAAATTATTTACATACTTAATTATATGCTGAATTTACAGTTATTTTCTGTAGTAGCAGCCATTCTACAAACAAGGTGTTTTTTAATTCCCTGTTGCAGTTTGTTTCAGACTGGCTTTGTTTGCTATCTTTTTTTTATGTATGTGTTGTTGAAAGTTCTAAAACTGCAACTGCGATTTCGATTTTGACCATTTTTTTTTTAGATCCATAAAAATGATTTATAGCAAATTGACTTAAGGGGGTTATTGTTAACATGCAAGCATGCTGACCAATGTACCTGCACCTCCTCTGTGAGATAAAACTATACTAAAACTATGAATTTAAAACTATTCATTCCTCATTCAGACTGTTTAAATCCCTCCTGCAATGCATTGCCCTGTTTGGAGTTTGGAGCCCCTCTACCTGTTAAAAGCAGAGTGCTTGCTCATAGGGTAATGTTGGGTCAATGTAAATAATGTAAATAATATTATAGAGTACAGTCTAGACCTGCTCTATAAGAAAAGTACCCCCGAGATAACTTAACGTAACAGATGAAAATTAGCCCATTGGGCAAATTCTGGCTCATTTAATGAATATTTATGATTTGACCCCAGTGGAGTGTGTTTGAGAAAACAGTGTGAGATGTTCTTGAAGTGGAGCTGTTTGTGCATGTTTGTTTCGAGGTGCTCCCATCAGATAAACATACAAGTCCATAGCTTACATTAATGAAGAGGTTCTTCTCAGGTCTCATAAAATGTAAACTGCACATCATCTGCATCCTGAGACTGTGAGAGGTGATGCCTCACCACTGCATGTGGCTGACTATGACCTGAACGGTTTAGACTTAACTCAGCATTCAGTAGATATACTGTGAGCAAATATAATAGTTCCATACAGTGTGAGTTCCTGTCTTAATAACTGCAGTACACATGAAGTAATTCACATTTCATTGTAAATTAAAAATTTACTTTTTTCACTTTGTCAAAAGGTCACTTTGTAAATTCTAAAAACAAAAGTAGCCTAAATATGAACAATGCAAAATCCACATGACATAATGATAAGAGGACATTTCTGCAGTTCCATCGTCCACCAGAGCAGCTGTATTATGTATTGTTGTGTATAATTTACCCTAGTATTATTATTATTCATTCCCATGCTCACATGAACTACAGTATGGTGGTACAAATTATATCTAATAACCTCACATCTAATGTTATAGCGTGTTTCTCTCTTTGTGAAACAAGTGGAAGATCAAATGATTGGACTTCTGGTTATTAGATATAACTAATAACTGTTAAACACAGACCTCAGGTCTTTAGAGACCTGGAACCATACTGTTGTTTATTCAGGACACTAACTCTGAAAATGAATGCGTGCCCCAAGCAACTGTTGATAAGGATGATATTTTTGTGCCATGTTGAAGTGAGTATGATGGTGCCAGGTCAGAGGACGTGAGCTGCTCTCATTTCAGCTGGGGATCTATTGCAAGACCATGATATTATGATTTGTGATACTATGGTGAATTAATTTAGTTTGGTTATTAAACAGTTACTGAGTGCAAAACTGCTACTAGTGTAACAAAGTACAATATATGTATATATGTATAAACATAATAGGTTACAATAATAAGATGAAATATTTATATATGTGGAATAACTGGCATCTATGAGGGACTGAACAAAAGGCGAAATTGCAGCATAAACAGATACATTTTAATGCAGCCAGACCAAGGAGTATGAATGGGTTATGGACATGCACCACATCTACACCATTAAAATTCTGTTAGAGAAGTCAGTGAGCCAATAGGTCCAATATGAAATTATTTTCTCTACAATTCCTATTCTATTTGCTCAACAGTTTGAAGCATACATATGTATACATTGTGTTAATGGAGCACCGTAATATTCAATAAAATACACCTTGTAAGCACTGTATATAAAGACTTTAATAAGATTGTAACTCAGGGCCCCTATTCAAGATTGGGCCTCAAAACCTGCGAATAACACAAGTTTATAATTTTATTCATAATGTGATTTAGTGGTTCATACAGTAAACATTTACAATTAATTTAAATAGACCAAAATAAATGGTACATGGTGAAGATGGAGTGGCCATTTTTATAATCCAGATTCTCAGACAAATATTTCATGCTTGATCATCTCCTGTAATCTGTTTGTAAGGAGAAATGCGTGTAAGAGACTGGAGGCAGCACTCCACTAAATGCAACCGTTTATCAAGAAGAGAAAACGTCCAAACACACACGATATTGCATCATTAGCAAGTGTTGTGTTCAGTGTTTAACGTAGGCACCGTGGTGGCAGTGAGGGGAAGGCTCCTCCAGTTGGTTTGTAGATCACACCCCCATTACAATCCCTACCAACCGAGCCCCTCTGAATCCACTAGCTCGAGGACCACTATGCAAATATACACAAAGCGGCTTATGTGTCGGAGTGGTTTGTTGATTGGAGCGATTTCGTAAAGATGCGATTCTCCCCGAGGCTGTGAAACGGAGCAAGAGAGGATAACACAGAAAAAAACAGAGGAAGACTGGTCCGATCCAACTGTTAATCTCGCTATGTAAGTAGACTACTCAAGTAGTTAGCAAGTTAGCTAGCATTAGCAGCTACTGCCGATTCGGTGTCTTGAAGCGGCACAGTGGCACGTAAAGCTGCTTTGTCTTCGACAGTGGGAACTACAATGACTGAGATATGAAGGATACGCTATTAAATCGCCTGGTGAATAACGTTTGTCCACCGGGCTGGTCAGGGACACCACAGACTAGTCTGACAGCCTTGCCCGTTGGTCACAGCTGGTGTGATGCTACTACTAGCATGCTTGCTGACTAGCTTGTTAGCATAGCTAGGTTATCTCCGTTAGCGTTAAAATAACGTTGATAAACTGCGGCCCAAATTTAGACAACAAGAGTGACAAGCGCAAGCAGATTATTGTTTAATTACATGTTATTCTGAGGTGGGTACGGCTAACTAGTCGGGTTAGTTGCTAAACTGTTAGCTTTTTCTGTTAAACCACATTACCAGTGCCACCATTATTAAGATGGCATGCCAAATTCAATTGATAAATGGTCACAGTTAATGATGCTTTTCATAAGAGATGCTTTTGTGTTAACGAAGGGTGTGATATATCACCATGACCAAGTAGTTCGAGTGTTGCTGAGAATTCGGTGTATAGCTAGTTAATACCCAAATAAATGTTTTTGTTTAATGGGTTGTTTTAGAAATGGTCCATTCTGCTCTAACCCCTGCGATTGCAAGTGGCAGTAGTGCAGTAGTTGATGCTGTCTAGCGATAGCTCAAATCAACATGTTAAACACAACGATGAGCTTGAATAGTATGACCACTCACAAATGGGCGATTGCCTGTAACAAAAGCACATGTCAATATCTGGGATATATTACATTTCATTTCTGCTATGCCTAATCATAAACTAAGCCTTAACCACAACCACGGAGGGGGGTGCTGGGGGAAACACTATTCTAACGGGAGGTAAACAGCCTCAGATGGTGCACTGTTTCAGAGGGGAACAGATTTAGACATAAGACCTGGGGCCGGTTTAGTCTGTAGCGTTAGGTCAGTCTTAATTTTGCTCATTGATAATGCAAGTAAGATCGTTTCATAAAGATAAAGACTGACTCATTTTAAGCTAAAAAAAAAAAAAACACCTTACCCCCTGGCTAAGGAGACAGCAATGAGAAGGTAAATTGTTTTTTAGAGACCACAGCATTTTTTTTCTAAATCAGATTTTTCTTTTTATGTTAACACTCTTCACGTAAAATGTCCTTGTACCTGCTGAATTCTTCCTAAAGAGAAAAATGTTCTGCTGGGGTAAACGGAGCTGGATGCGGTTCCTGAGTGGGCCATTTTTTTATTTTGAAAAAAAGTCCCAGAATTTACCCAGAATTCATTGTACCACAGTCCCACTTAAGATAGTCAAGAGCTTAAGTGCTTTGTGCAATGTCTGACTATTAGTTATAGGCCACAGCCAAAGTCTATCTTCGTGAAACCGGCCCCTGGATATTCCAGTGTTATTTCCCGTGGTGTATATACTGGTGGCCTGTACTATGAAGCAGGATTTGGGGTTAACTTAGTCACCATGGTAGGGGACATTCAGAATGTAGTGTCTAAAAAATGCATGGAAAACGCTAGCTGGGCTGTTTTCGTCCTTTTATCCAAGTTGTTTGGGAGGTTGTGCTACTGTTGTGCCCATTTCAGGTGGCATTCTCCTCCCTTTCCACTCCCCCTGCCTGATTTTCAAAGTCAGGCTTTGGAATGGGAGCAGCCCTCACACTGAAAATGGCAATGGCAAAGATTTTGATTAATTGCTGTGGCACCATCGCTGCATCCTGGGCTCAGCGCCACCCAAGACTATTGTGATTGGTTTAAAGAAATGCGAACAAGCTAGTGTGTTTTTTTTCTCCCAACAGCAGAATGATAATAGGTGCAGCCAGAACATTCTCCAGCACTGACACAGCTTTGTGGAGATAAATCTGGCTATGTGAGATTACTAAGCAACCAAAACCTTTCAACCAGATGTTGTGAAGTCCTTGGGGAAAAAAAGGGAGAAGTAAGTCCTTTGGAGCTAATTGGTTAATTCTTGTCACATAACCTACTGTGTGGCTTGCTGCATTCAAAAAAGTTCAGATTTTTCCATCTCTGTGTGGCGTGGATGCACCTGACAAAACGAGTGCATGGAATCTAATGTGCCATGATGATTGCTTTCGGTTGTGAGCGTGCCTGATGCATGTCTCCATTGAATATAATGCATGTGTGTGCGCGCAAAAGATGCTACATGAACTGAACTGCCCCATAAGCCCATAAGCGACAAAGCCGCAAGAGGTGAGGAGAGGGAAGTCGAGCTGCTACAGAAGCTGTGAAGTACAAAACTGTTTTTGTCATTGGTGGTGAGGATGGAAATAGAGCAGTGGCGTGAAGTGTTGCATGTCTCCTACTGTCCTCTAAAGGTCAATGAGCCGATGGGTCAGTCAGGAAGCCCCTGAGTCCAATAGGAGTCAACTCACTACAGTATTTATTGTTTAGCAGGCTCACAGGACACGGTGCAGGAGCAACAGTGCGACAGGCTGTAAAGTTCTCAAACAACTTGTCTTAAAATGGCCAAACCACAGATAATCACAATTAGCTGATGGAAACAGAGGGCAACGTGACACCCAACAGTGCGAGGCCGGGCTGCTCCAGTTCCGGTGTCAGTTGACAGCACTGGCAAGAGAAACCTAATATAATTAATATAATGTTATTGTGGCATCACTGCCACAGCTACTTTGCTGGATCTTTGTCATAAAGGAGACCTGATAAAGTCATAGGGTTTATGTATATTTGATCCTTTAACCAGGTTTATTGGTTACATGGATGTTTCTTCACGTTAAACTCTCAGCAACACTCAGCAATAGTTACTGTGTGCTGTCTGGCTATAGTAATGATATCAGGAGCCTGGTGTGTCTGGTCTGCAGGCCTCCGGGGTCAGTAGCCCAGCTTTCGGCCTTTTCTGGATCTTTTATTTTCTCTGTCTGCGTCACGGCTCTGAACACAGGACTATAGTAGTCAAGGAGATGCTATGCAGGAGGCCTCTGTCGTCCAGACAGCTGCAGAAGGGTTTCTGCTCTGTGTAAATCACACACTGCTTACTACTTATTAATATGCTGCTGTATTGCAGTATAGTGTGAGGCTGGGTTGTTGGGCTTTTAGGAAGTCAGTAAGAATCCTCTGCACCACAGTTTAGACTCAGTGAAGTCACATATACAAGGTCTTCACTGAATCAAGAAGAGGCTCAAGTGTTGGTTTTATGTGGATCTTGTGGCCTTGTTGACACACCTCCCCCTCTGTTTTTATTTACCACTCCAAAAGGGTAGTGTACTCACCAAATCCTCACAATTGAGAAGCTGGAACTGTGTCATGTTAACAATGTTTGTGTGTCTGTGTGAGTGAGGAAGTATGATATATCAGTTTGTGGGGCGTTTTCATGAAGTGATGTCATGCAGTGGGAATGCTCACTGTTGAGGGTTTGTCAGTTACATGGGGGCAGACATCACAAAGTGAGGAGATGTAGAGATTTAACTTTGTTTGGTTCATATTTGTTAAAACAGAAAAACTCTGAGGATTGTGTCTCTTTGCTGCTGTGTACATTAACAGTGATTTATACTTGTTGACGACTTTTTAGCCAGCTAGGATATTAAAAAAAAAAAGATGAAAACAAACTAGTAATGATAAAATGGTAAAAGAGAGGAGATGTTTGGAAGTGAGTCAAACCAGAAATAAAAGTAGAAATAAAATAAATTACCAGAAATAAGTAGGATATTAAAAGGAAAACAACCCAGAAAAATAGATTTCTGGATAATAGAATAAAGAACAAACTGGTAAAACGGCTTCAAATAAAAAATTTTATAAAATATAATATAAAAATCAATGTTTATCACCTCTTTACAATAACACAAAGGCTGCTTTCCTGACTACGCTGACTGCACCTTAATATTGAATTAACTGTTGCATCACTTTACACTGTATAGCCTAGAGCACAAGCTTTTTCATATCACTGACCTTAAACTGACACAAATGAGACCACGGACCTCCATCTGATAAGACTTTTGCTTTTATATGTTTTATTACAGAAACCAATATAGTCACACACTCTGTCGTTGTGTTACTTACGGATGGACCGCAGGAACCCCCTCAAGGTCCCCTGGGGTTCCCTGGACCCCACTTTGAGAACCACTGGCCTAATTGATGTACTTTCTCTGTGTAATAATAAATGAAACATATATACAAATATTTATTGCTACTTGACAGCTGAATCTGTAGTCTAAAGGAGACTGCCCAGTAGGTAGAGCAGAGAGGAATGTAAACTGACTCTGGTTCAGGTAGTTGTGGATAGTGGTCGACCGATTAATCAGGCCGATTAATGGCATTTTAAAATGCTCACTAGGTCGATTAAACCAAAAAAGTCAAATAAATAGACAGAGACTCTGTTTCCAGCGAGAGAGTATTCAGTGAGATTGGGACCATTTATGAGAAGAAAAGGCTCAGTGGGGAAAATGCTGAGAAACTTTGTTTCCTGCATTACAACTTGCAACTCATAACTTTGTTTAACTGGGACTGTATCTAAAAACAAGGAGAAGCTGCTACTCTGCACAGTACTGATATTGTTTATTTTTTTATTCATGTAACTTTACAATTTGTTCTCTCTCAAGTGCACTGAAACTTTATTTTTCATTCATAAGTTTAGCTGTGGACATTTAAGTTAACATTTTTTAATTTATAATAAGTGCACTGCAGACAGAGCGCAGATCTACTTGCAGACAATGCAAACAACGGTGTTCAATAAATGTTCAGCAAATGTTACCTTCAGCAATTTTGTGTCTTATTTGAAAAAAGAAAAAGACATCGCCTTTATATATCGGCCCTCGGCCGCCCTGCTCTCTACAAATCGGCATTGGCCATTGAAAAACCCATATCAGTGGATCATTAGTTGTGGATATTCCACTCTTCTCCTGCTTCTTCAGACCAGGAGGTTTATCTGTCCGGGTGCTTTCTGTTGCAGAATTCTACAAACATGCCGGAGGTTCGGGAGCTTTCTGAAGCTTTACCAGAGATGCCCATGGACCCAATCACTGGAGTGGGAGTAGTGGCCTCCAGGAACAGGGCACCCACTGGATATGATGTGGTAAGTGACAGAACACAGCTAAGCACAGATGGACAGCTGGATACCAAATTACCATGCAGAATAATTATCGCTTTAGTTTTACTTCCACTTCTAACAATTCAATAATTCTTGTCATTATCACTACCAGATACAACAGCAGACAAACTTATGGCATGAATTTTAATAATCTGATATCCATATGCTCATACAAACCACTCCTTAAGGAAACTTTGGCAGTGACCCTGCCCCCCCCTCCCTCAGGGTTTTCCCCCTCAGTATATCATTGTAAACCTAACTGTACATTTAAGTAATATAATAATATGTTCTCAGAGAAAAGGAAGACAGATATACAGTTGTTTTTCAAACTTTGTTCAGCTTTTGTTTATCAGTGTTTTTATAAAGTAATAAGGGTTTCCACTATTTACATTTTCTAAAGTACACAGGGATTAAAGTGGAGCGCAATGATTACCATCAATCAAGTTAATGAGATTTAGTTAGTGTTTAGTTGCTGTTTTTATTGAGTCGTTTATTTACAACATAGTTGTTTATGCTTTCTGTTTACAATTAGGAAGTGGTAAAATAACCACACCGTACCGTCCACACCACAGAGGTCACACCTCTTTAAATAACAAGGAGAGAACTGTAACTACTAACCTAAATACTGTTAAGCAGCAGTGACATTTATTAAGCATTCAGCCTGTTAAAGAAATCAGATGTTAGACAGGTAAATAGAACTCAGGTAAATAGTTTGATGACCTCTTTGATGACCCGTCGACGTTCTGCCTCCAGGTCTCCACAACAACAGACGGCTTGGATGCCGACCTGTGGAAAGACGGCCTGTTCAAATCCAAGGTGACCCGCTACCTCTGCTTCACCAGGGTCTTCTCTAAAGAAAATGTACGTGAACTCACCTCACCCACCAGCTGTGCATGTGACAATATTTTGATATACATATGACATTTGAATTGACTGTTTAGTGGAGATTTTGAGCTGGTTAGATTCACTCTCTTCGTTTTCCCGCCTTGGGCTATTTTCTCCCAAAATCTCTGGCCACCACGTCTTCTTTTCCCCCCTTTTTTGTTCTCTATCCTTTTCTCTGCAGAGCCACTTAGGCAACGTTCTTGTGGACATGAAGCTGATAGATATAAAAGACACTCTGCCTGTGGGTTTCATTCCGATCCAGGAGACTGTTGACACTCGTAAGTTATTGAACCGATAACACTGTGTGGTAAAATATGTCTGAAAATGACATGAAAAAGTCATAATAATAAGAACTGCTGTGTTAATCTCTCTATGTGTAGCTAATGGGTTGACCGCTGTGCAGTGACTCTGTCTGTCTCTTCTACGTCTTACAGAGGAGCAGGCCTTCAGGAAGAGACGACTCTGCATCAAGTTTATTCCACGGGACTCCACAGAAGCAGCCATCTGTGACATCCGCATCCTGGGACGCTCCAAGCAGGCCCCCCCTCAGTACACCTTCATAGGGTCAGTATCTTGGGATTATATTTTAGTTTTGATAATAGACTGGATAAATAATGGTGCAAGAAAATCTAAAAAGGACCAGAAGATATTGTCTAGGTGTTTGACTGTAGTTGAATCTAAATCACTGTTGAGATACAGATCATGATCTGATAACTGTAAGTCACAGAGGCTCTTAGAAGAACTGACACTCACAGTACCCCAATCCCAAGCCGTGCACACCAGGATGTCAAGAAAGCTCACTGGTTGAGCTTCTGTCTGAGGGTGGGAAAAGAAACATGTGACATTTTTCCTTAAATACGTTAAAGTATAAAAGAAACATGAACACACTTGAAGCATGTCCAGCCTTATTTCCTCAGAGAAAGTATTAATGACAACAGAAAATATGGACCATGTATGTACTTAGAGTTTGAGGGGGTGGGCACATGACAAAGTGTTAAGCCTGTTTTTCTGCTTATTAATGCTTCTGAACTTGTTTGACAGAGAGCTCAACAACATGGGAATCTGGTATCGCATGGGGACTGTGCCTCGGGCCCAGGACTCCACACACACTCCAACCACCAACAACGTCCAGAATGTGAATTCCTCCTCCAGCTCAGCCCCAGTGCCAGCAGCTCCTATGCCCAAGTACGTTCACTCTAATTATGTGCGTGTACACGAGTGTGCTCACTTGTGTCTGAGTCTTTCTCACTTATACAACTAACTCAACATTTAGAATCAGGGAAATAGGATATTCACTGTCATTGAACATCCTTTCCTCAAAGGAAGGAAACACTTCCATATTTAGATCACAGTGAACGAGGAAAAGCTGTCAGCTGGCAAGCAAAGAAGAGGAGTCCAGTTACTGCCACGCTGACAGAAAGAAATGAGGAGAGTTTGATTTCTGGTGAACATTGCATTCTTGGATTTGTCCAATCACTTATAATCACAATACCTGTTTTAATGGTGATAATATCCTGCGTTTCATCAGAACATTAGTGTAGATGTTTATATTTCTGTTGAGTCCTGAACATATGAAAATGAGACAGCAGCACTGTCAGCTCTTTCCTGCTCCCTGATAAAATGAGGTCAAATTTCATATTAAAAGTAGCAGCTTCAGGATGAGCAGTGTCAAAATGAAAGAAAAAAGAGTGCGCTTTATTTAAAATGTCCCCACAGATCCATGTAACCCATTAATCCACTGAACATTTCGTTTGGCGTGTGATACAACAGGGTAGCGTGCTTTATCATCTAACTTGAGAGGAAATGCAGAGTTGATACTGGATCCTTTAAAGCTGTTTGGCTTGTGGTGAATGTGAAGAAGAGAAATCATACAGAGACAACACCCTGGAGGACCCAGCTGTTTCCTGTCCTGCAGTCCTGATCTCGCTGCTCCTGCCCCTCAAAGTGGATGTCATAATAACTGTGCTGCTGAGGCTTTCAGAAGACACATCACTGAATATCAGCACAGAATGGACTTACAGCAAATGCACAGATTCAGTGTTTTAAGCTCTTTAATATATTCTTTTCCTCTTTTTGACCCCAGGCATATTTCCATGACTCTCCCTGCCAGCTTCAGAGGGAAGAACACCACCAGACCAGACTATGAGCACCAGAACTCTAACCTGTATGCTATCTCAGGTCAGCACCAGTTTGTTACTGTCCTCTTCCTAACAGTCACTTTCTTTATTGCAAATTAATGGGAATTTTTTAATTAAATTTTTACTGCCAAAAATTACAAAAATGATGATGGTGTGATTTTTGCCGGGGTCTGTACCAAACAAGCCTGTTTCCCTAAATCTGGAGAATGCTATTTGTAGCACCACAGTGCTTCATTTATAATGGTAAAGCTATGTTGAAAATGGCAGCTTCTGTGATTTGGATATTGCATTATCGAAATCACGATAATATTTTGATGAATTGTTCAGCTCTACACACATGGTGTTGTTACTGTGTAAAATTGTACTTTAAACGCTACATTTGTGTTCATTTCATTTATTTATTTTATTTATTTTTGAATTTATCGTGCCAGCATCACCTAGCGAATAGGAGTACTGGAGGCTGATTTCAGGACTGTATCTTATCTTATGGTTGCTAAGAGTTGCATGTTTATGTAATTAGCATAATTAGGTAATTATAGATAATATAGATAAGATAAATATGGACTCATGCTATGGCCTTTACAGTCACTAGATGGCAACCAGATATTTGAAAGGTTGGAGAGAGGCAAGACACAAGGGCAACTCTGGGGACACATTCAAGATTATATACTGTACACTGAATACACAATAATCAACAATAACAAGGAAAGTGAACGACCTCCGCAAGTGTGTGCAACACAGATGAGTGGAGGTGGAGGACACTGGAGTATGAAAGAACCTCAACGACTCCTGAAATAGAGAGAGAGAACAGAAATAACGTTATTGATATATAACAATAATACAGTTATCTAAAGTATAAAAATGTCCAAACGTAGGTTAACATTAATACTAATTTAATATGAATTTCCCTGCCACTATAATTTAGTAGTTTAATGTTGCTAAGATCAGCAGTGGTAGGTTCCTGCAGAGCCTACAGAAGGCTGCAGTTTCAGGACCACTGTTGTGTATCATTAATAATAATATGGTAAATGGACTTGCACTTAGAAAGTGCTTTTCTGGTCTTACTGACCACTCAAAGCGCTTTACAATACTTGCCACATTCACACATCACACTCATACAGTGATGGAACAGCCATCAGGGGAAATGTGGGGTCAGTGTCTTGCACTGGGACACTGCGACATGTGGCCTGGAGGAGCCGGGGATCAAAACCACAACCTTCTAATTAGTGGATGAACCTGCTCTACTTCCTAGCCCAACAGCGCCCCTCGAATTCAAATGATTTAAAAAAAAAAAATTATATTTATATATATAAAGTATATATATAAAATAGAATAAGTATTATTATATACTAAGAACAAAAACTAAGGTTGTAGAAATGCAGCCTCCAGTTCTGCAGGAACATCCTGCTGGTTACTTCTTTAGTTCTACTGCAAAGACACATTCATGCAACAGTTATCTGAACTGTCTTTTTCAGCTATGGACGGAGTGCCGTTCATGATCTCTGAGAAGTTTGCCTGTGCCTCGTCCGATGTAAGTTCCCCTCACCTTATCTGAAGCTTTGTGGTGGCAGGTTGAGCTGATAGTTTTGAACAGCTGTCTGCTTTAACACCTCTGCTGAAGTTTTTCACAAGTTGTTTCATGTGACAGTGTGAAGAAGAATGTTTAACCTGTCAGCCAGTTATTTTGTTTGCCTGACATTCTGTCCGTGCAACAGGTGTGAAATGTATGGCAGCAATAAGGTGAAAAGAAATGAAAAAAGAAAAGTGTATAGGAAACACTAGAACCTCCACCAAGGCCAAACAGTCCTATACAAGTTTGAGATCCAGATCCCGATCTAGGTCAGACTCGGGGGAAAACACGAGCTCCTTGGTGCAGGTAACGAGTTATTGAGGTTGAACCTATTCACATAACTGGGCAAATAAGTAACCATCACTGTTGTGTATGTGCAGCTGCAGCAGGTGGATCTGATGGGCATCACAATCAAGTCACTGGCTGAGATTGAGAAAGAGGTGAGGAGTTACAGTTCTGCGGATATTCAATACAGAATGCTTATTTTCATTGCTGTGTCCATCATCATTTATCAGTTATAACATTGTCCTCACCACAGTGGAACCACTGAGACATTTCCAAAACAAAGTCTGACAGGTACAAACACAAGCAGTCAGACCATGAGATCAGGTCATCTGAAAGTCACACTGAAACACCTGAAACAGTAATTGTCCAGCATTACCCCTCTGAACACACTGTAAATAGATAAATATTCATTTAAATAAATAAGTATTTGTTTATTTATGCATTTATTTATTTAATATTGATAGATTCCAAAGAGATCTGGTGTCAGGAGTCATTAGACCAGTAGAAATGTTCCTGTAATTACAGACTGTGTCCACCAGAGGTCAGTGTAGTCCTGAGTCTGTGAATCTCATAGACTCAGAGCAGATGATGGTTCAGACTCATTGCAGTGATTTCTGTTCCTCTCTCCCTCTGTCAGTATGATTACAGTTTCCGTACAGAGCACAGTGCAGCAGCTCGCCTCCCTCCCAGTCCAACGCGGACTTCCCTGAGCTCCGAGGCCTGAGAACTCTCTCCCACACCCACCCCATCAACACTCCCCTCTCCAGACCCCGTCAGGAGAGACCTGTACACAACTACTGACCTTCCCACAGTGAACAGTGACACCCCACCACCTCCAACACAACCGTACTGAGAAGAAAGAAGAAAAAAAACAACAACAAAACAATGAATTCTGGGAGATGTTGTTTGTCTTTCTGTGTTAGTTGTTCATTTTAAATGAAAAGGAAACTGAAACTGAAAACACTGAGACAGAGGCAGAACACTGAGGGACTCGCGGCTGAAATCACTGGACAACACTGAAGAAGAGACAGAATCACCCATTGGACCGTTTTTGCTCAAAGGAAATTCAAATTGAAATCTCAAAAGCATGAAGTGTTGAAGTGTTCTTCCCACAGCCCCGTGAGAGACCCTGTGTGAGGTAAAAGCAGACGTCCCCTGTCGGGCCTCTGCTGGGTGAAGTGGCCTGTGAGCGTGAAGACAGACCTCAGATCAGCCTTCCTTCTGTGTTCATGACACCTGCTGCTCTGAGGAGGAGGAGGGAAATCATCCCGCTTCATGTGTTGGAAATACAAAAGGAAACCTGGGATTTTTTTCAAAAGAACTTTTTTTGTTGTTATTGTGGGGAATGATGTGTTTGTTCTCTAGATGTTACTGTGATATACTGGTGTGACTGGTGTGTGCACTTTGTGTGTGTGATATTCTGTTCACTGTCTCTACATGAGCCAGCAGCTTGGCTTAGACATGTGTTACACACACACACCACTGTTTGATTCTGATTCTGTCGACCACAGCTAATGTAGAGTCTGCTGTTGTAGGGCTGGGTATCGTCATTTCTCCACATCAGTGATGATTCAACACATGAGAGTTTCACTGGGGACAAAACAACAAAAACTCATTTTTCAATACCTTACTTTGAAATAACTACAAATAGAAATATTTTAGTTTCATTGAAGTTTTTGTCAGCACATCTGTCTGCATCTGCAGCAGAACTACGACCCAAATATTGCTGGTTACTCTCTGAATCCCTTTTCAAATGATGACTTCAAACTAGAGTCAGATATGAAACCGGGGTTCTGAATTGTGGGTTCTGTGTTGCTGCAGTTCCACCAGCGCCTCCTGCTCTCTACAGTCTGTTGTCATCATGTCTCTAGGGTTCACATCAGTCTCGAGTGTCAGCTGCAGACCTTGATATTAGAAGTAGAAACATTCATGATTAATTTGTCGGCACACAAAGAAAAGCACAGCTCCCATTAAAATCATTTGAGCTTAAAGTGTTTTCAAAAACAGGAAAATGACATGAGTAAGATTGTTGTATTTTTTTTTTTTGTTGGTTTTGTTTGGTTTCCATCCTGATCTTGACACACAGAGTGAACCACACAACATGCTCTTCAGTCAGTATGTTCAGGTTTGATGCCCAGCCCTCGTTTCTTTACTTTATAAGAACTATTTCCACTATTTAAAGTTACTTTTCTAAGCACAATGTTCAACAAACTCAAACATGTTACAGTCTGTTGTCCATTCTTCATCACACATGAAAAAAGTTGTCAAGTTAAAGTGCTCTTTTTTTTTATTGGATTACACTGTTTAGATGTGAAACGTAGCGTCTGCATGTTGATCCTGTGTAACAGTGGTAGATCTCTCATTCAGCTCAAACTGCTTCTTTTACCTTGATGTGTGAAAATGATTTAATTTTAGTCTGGTAACTTTAATTTAAGCTGTTTTATTTTTTATCCATTTGACATGTGAAGACCACTATACCCACCAAGAACCACTAAAGTCCAGTTCTAATGAGACTGATGGGACTTGGACACTTAAAGGGGGTCAGTCCTGGGTCTGAGAAGAAGTCTCTTCAACCTATAAATGTTTTATAGATTTGTTATCATTTTTATTTCTCTTCTCTGCTTCTTCTGGCAGCCACGAACATATTTACTTTTTACATTTTATTGTCAGGCAGTTATGTTTCCATAATAATGTAACTGGATGTAGCAGCTTGAAGAGCCTGGTATGGATCCAGTCTAGGGTTCTTTTAGATGTTTCAAATGATACATGATTGGTTCCAATACTGGCCTCTTAATTGGTGGAGAAGCCCTGTGCGAAACTAAGATGTGTCCTGTAAAGAAAGAAGATTAACCTGGACAGGTCAGTTATTATCAACATACCTGCAGACTAATGTTACTGAGCAGTTTCTTCCATCAGGGCTCGACTCGAAATTAAAAGACTGCCATAATCATTTTTCATTCTTGGTAGACTTTTAATTTGGAGTTTTTATTTCAGTATGAACATCGGCTTTGGTTTGAGACGTCACAGCATCTGTGATAAGATCGACTTACTGAACAGAGGATTCATTGAGACTGTGAATATGTCTTCAGTGAAACTTCTCCTTCCTGTTAACACAGTGTTGTCTTAAGAACAATGACCCTGTTTTATTTTTCTTTGTTTACTCCACAAGGAAATACTTAGTTTAACTTTTTTGTTAAGTGTCTCTGCAATATTATCCAGTCATAAATGCATGGATTAACACCTTTTACATTATATTTTTGTTTGATTAATGTATTAGTCATTTCAGTATCGTGACCCTGTTGTTTTAACCTGTACAATCTGACATGTTTGATGGAGTGAAAAGATGAGCGGCTCATGTCTGTGTGAAGCTCTGTGTATTTACGCTGCTTGCTCTGTGTGAAGCTCCACCTGTATCATCTGTCGGCCGTGGTGTTCACCTCCAGCCACAAACACTTAATATGGGACTAATACGATGTCTGCATTAACAACATGTAACAGTCCTGCTTCGATGACGTCTGTTAGTTTGCATGCGTGCCGGCGTGAGGTTTCAATGAGACGTTATTTTTGTAGGTTATTGATCAAAAGCCTCATAAATAGATTTTATTCACTTAAGAATGAACAAAACAGCATCAGTTGACTTTGTATTATAAGGAAGTTTTATTAAACTATGATGATCTCAGTCTGAAGTTGCCTTTTATTTTGGTCACTCAACTTCAAGCCTCAACAACACTGATAAAGATGTTTAAAAAGTTTAAAACATGATGAACTATACATCATATATGTATTTTGAGCTTCGCTGCAGAGTTTGACACTCGACAGTCTGTTTTTCCCACAGAGTGCTGCAGGGACGAGTCCTCAAACTGAGTCAGCATCTTAGCACTTCCTGTTCCCTCATTCTGAAGTCTCTGGATTTTTGAATGGGTTTTGGTAAGATGACTGAAATAAGGTCTGTGGTTAACACATAGACTTGGATTAACCCTATCATGACCTGAAACCACAAGGTGAGGACTCAAAAGCACAACTTGAACACAGTGTGTAACTTCTGCCTCTCATTCAAAACAATAAGAAAAGACAGCATTAGGTTACGTCATGAAATAGCATGGGATCATGGGAGTTGTTGTCCTCACCACCATTACTGTAAGATCCTCCCGGTTTGGATTCCTTCAGTGTGAGTGGTTCAGGAAATCAAACAGACCTGGTGATTCTAACCGTTAAAGTCAGAGTTTGAGCGACGCTGTACGGAGGACAGAGACTCAGGGAAGAGCTGGAGCTGAGATGATGATGCTAACCTTTGTTCTGATTGTTTCTCTGAAAACTTATGAAGCAGGCGTTCAGCAGGTTTTTACCAGCAGCTGAATGATCCACAGAGGTGTCCTCCTCTCCATAACAAACACACCAGGGGATTAAAACCAGTACAAACACTGAATAAAGCAGTTTGACTTTAAAACTCAGAGCATCACCGACGCTCTTCAGTGACACAGGACAGGACGTCTCCAGCAGCTGGGAGCTGAGCTGTCTAACATTTCCTCAGCTTGTTTCTCTGATAACTTCAGATCCAGACGTCCGACGACTAAAATCCTTCATCTGGTTCAAATATAGACCAATATAGACCAAAAATCAACATTGATCTTCTGGCAGACAACCACAACACTGACACATGATCATAGAGGATATGATGTCATAATGACAGTGGTAGAAAACACATGAGGGCAGAAAGTGAATCTGAAACCAGAGGAGAGTTAGTGATATCAAAATAAAACCGGAAGTGTATAACAGACACCTACCACACATCAGAGGCCTCAGTGTGGTCATCTTCTGTTGCTTTGACTTCACACACATGTTGGAGGCTCTGAGCGCAAACTGCTGCTGTTTTTCATCTTCAAGCGTGTGTGTGTTTTTTTTTTGTTTTTTTTTATGGTTTACTCGCAAACACAAGTCAATTAGCTCTACAGCAAACATGTGGCTTCTCCTGTCACTGCCACCACAGCAGCTTTATAGGCTGCAGTTAACATCTGGAGCTGCATCACAGTTACACCACCACAGAGGGTGGAAGTGGAAAAACTCTTTATGTTTGACTTTACTCGGTCATATATGTTATATAGTCTTGTTCTGAATCATATGCAAACCATTCATTTTTTTTCATTGTTTAATATTTTTTCAAAATTCCTCACACACTCAGCTCAGCAGCTGTCAGTGAATCACTTTTCATTCCTCTGACACAAAACAAGCACATCTGTCAAAATCCATCAACCGTTTTCTCTCTTAAACTCTAAAGAGAGTTAAATTCGCCTTCTGCTACTAAAAATGTTAAATACGACACTGAGCACCTTGTTTCATTCTCTCATGACCTCCATGAAAGACTTGCTCCATGTGATGGGGGGGGGGGGGGCTGAATCCAGAGGGTTTTGTAACCACATCAGTGGGGACTGAGGAGAGAGCATGTTGTTCCACTAAGTGATTTAGACCAGCAACACACTGTGTTTGTCCCAGCCTGCCCCACCATGTCTGCCCCTGGAAACTTCTATGTGACTCTACATGATGGACAGAGGTGAGTCAGTGTATAGATAGAATTTGTTCAGTTAAGTTTTTACTTGAGTTAAAGTACTGGAGTACTTGATTTTCAAAATACTGAAGTATTCAAAAGTATATTTTTGTATTTTTGTCAAGACGTTGTATTGTTCCACATTTACAGAACCTAATGACTCTGAAACAACCGACTGACTGACCGACTGACTGACTGACTGACCGACTGTAGAATAAAGAGCTGATGGAATATGATACAAAGCCATAAAAGCACAACTGAATCAACAAAAGATGCCTTTGTTGTTTTCATTTTCCTTTTTTTTGTCAGTGATGAGGTCTGGTCGAGATAAACACATCAAACATTTCAAACTAAATTAATCTTTCACCATCTCTAAAATTTCAAACATCGTTAGACCTGCCACTGCCAAGCCCAACCTGAGCTGTTCAAAAATGCAGCAGCAGCACAACATGACTGACAGTGGAGGAGTTAGCTGTGATTGGTTTTTGATGACCACAGTGTATGGTCTATTACATTTTCAAAATAAAAGACATTTCTTTTTCCTGACTAAAAGCTGCTTCAAAGTAAGAGTATTTCATAGAAATGTAGTGGAGTCAAAGTCAGAAGTTTACACACAAAAAAAGTAAGTTAAGTAAATAAGAGATAGTGTAAAAACATACTTAAGTACAGAACTCCAGTAAATGTTCTTCGTTACTGTCCACCCCTGATGACGGACTGCTCTTTCATAGTCCTATTGACCACTTAAAGTGCTTCACAATACAAGCCACATTCACTCATTCATTCACACATTCATACAGCGGCTTTTCTATCACACACACTCACACTCCCATGATACATTGGGGGCAATTTGGGATTCAGTTTCTTGCCAAAGGACACTTTGACATGCAGACCTCTCCAGTCCGGGAACCAATCCCCATTAGGGCGACATGGTGGTACAGTGGTTAGCAGTGTCGCCTTGCAGCAAGAAGGTTCTGAGTTTGAACCCTGGTTGGGGCCTTTGTGTGAGAGTTTGCATGTTCTCCCTTTGCCTGTGTGGGTTCTCCGGCTCCTTCCCACAGTCCAAAAACATGCACAATAGGTTAATTGGCAGCTCAAAAGTGCCCATACCTGTGAATGCCTGTTTGTCTCTATATGTCAGCCCTGTGAGACTGGCGACCCAGAGGCTGAGTGAGGAAAGTTCAGTCAGGAAGACTATCTCCTTGCACATGCCGTCTAGAGCCCAATCACAGTGTCCCCCCTAAGGCCCTGAACCCTCACAGACTTAACTGACATCAAGGGCTCAATATGGTATGAAGAGGACTGGGACAGCACTTACATCACGTTACCCTTGCTTTCAATTGTGGGTTTAGGACTTTGATTGGACATTTCTATTCCCTCCCTTCACTCCCTGTCTGTAAACAAGAAAATAATGTTGGATCAGATCTGATCTGATATTTGGAATTCATCATCGTGTCATCATAAATCAAATAACTCCACAGTTCAAGCTCTGAAGCAACACTGAGCTCTGTGTTTCTACTCATATGTAAACTTTTTTTTTTTTTTGGGTTCATTCCTTTCATGCTTGTTAACCGTTCTTCTTCTATCCAATTATTTCAGGCGTTTTTATAGCTGTTTTTACGCTTCCGGGCGTCCGCTGATAACCATGACAACCCTGTGTTTAATGTCACAATGCTATGAACTTTTGGTAATTCCCTCAGGCAAAGTCTGCAGAAAGTTGGGGAGTTCTCATGCCCTCGATGGTTTGATGAGACAGTCCTAAACCCTCATGACCGCGCCTGTGAGGGTAGACGTTGGGATTGGGGCTAAGACACAAGCCCCGTTTCCCTCTATCTCTAAGCTCCACCTGCTCATTCTTGTCTTCATCCAATCACAACCTGACACGTGGCCCTTCACCACCTCAACCATGGATGCCTGACCATTTCCAATCAAACCATCCACTCAGAAGTTTCCCTCTCCTGAAGATGTTCCATCCTCGAGCTCCATTCCTCATCCCCACCACCAGTGTCCAGGCCCCAGGGGTAGATTCCTCCTTAAACCTATGGATTGTTTCCATGGTGACCCACTTGTGTCAAAGTTTATTCCTTCTGTTCACAATAAATTTCCCTTATCGTAAATTTCTCATACTCTCTTGTTCGTCTTATTAGTCTCTCCTGATTGAACCATGCACACACACACACACACACACACACACACACACACGGATCAGTATGAATGAGATGGATGTCATGATGTGTAATTAACATGTCAGCAATTACTGTAAGATAAATGTTGCAGTCGGCTGATGATGAATGAAGCTCTGACGTGTTGCCTGAAGCAGCACAGACGAGCTGAGGACTGATGACAGCTGGAGCAGAGCAGCAGCTCAGGTCTGTGTTTGTCTGTAGGAGCAGTCGTTATCTCGATGCTCATTATGAAAAATACATTAATAACTATTGTTACTATTATGTTTGATTTTAACCTCTTCACACTTTCATAAACTTTTAATCTTACTAAACAAAAATGTCTGTTGGGCCTCTTTGTGCACATAAGCATTTCCGGCTGAGTGCCAGAATGGTGTAGCTGTCACTGCAGCTCAGCCACTGTTGTATATCTCAGCTGCTTAACACGACTGTGCCTAACTTTCCTCAGTTTCTTTAGATCGTCACTTTCCTACTTCCTTCAGAAATGTTAACACTCCAGCTGTTTGAAGTCTGAAGATCAGCTGGACACCTTCAGAACATTTCATATCAAAGAGCTGAGAGCATGAAGGCTTAACCTCTTAACTTCCTAACACAGAACGTTTCTGCCATGAACTTGAAGCAACCATCACTTCACTGCTGAAGAACCTTCACCATGATCTGGTGCTGTAAACCAGCAGAAGTTCACCTGCACCAGACCTCAGTGCCCAATGGGGTTTCGATCAATGTGTGTCCATCAGTTTTGCTCCACTGTTCTTCTTCAGTGAGGTGGTTCTCTTGTCTCTTGAGCAGTGCTTTTACTTTGTAGGAGTCTGCAGCATACTGAAGTTGTTTCTGCACCTTCTCATGATCTGATCCTCATTATTACCGGTTTTTGTGATGGTGTGTTGAACACGTTTGTTAGTGATGGTCCCCACAAGTCTGTATCTCTACGTTTCTGTATAT